ATGCGCTTTACAGATTTGGCCATTTGGATGCGTTGATGCAATAGGGCCAGAGAGGCTGGCTTTTGTTTACACATTAGGGCACATTGGGTATGGACATCGAAGTAGAGGGAGAGGTGATTTGAGTACAATTGCGTGTTGCCCAGTTGCACAATCTGATAGCAGATGGGACATATGGAATTATCGTTTTGACTCTTTCCTATTATTTCATAATCTTCATCGACGACTAGGGGTTTATGTGGAGAATACTTAGGGATTCTTCTAGGGTGCTACTACACTTCCTGGAGTTGGAATCGTGAGGGATTTCGGTTTCTTTCTAGAGACACTTCGAAAATATCTCTTTGAATTCTGTGGGAACTGGTTCGTTCCAACCAAACAATGGATATAGATCATCTGACATGAAACTAGGCGCTCTCTCAAGTATTTTAAAATAATAAAATTGCCAATGCAAATAAGATTCTAAATTTAATTCCACTTAGTGGGGGTTGTAGGATTTAACTAATCTTTTGGTGGGGAGTATAGATGCCCCACTTTACCAATTAATTCATTCTTTTTTTAATCAACCAAAACATAGCGCGCTTCATTCCAGAATGGACATTTATTAAAATGAAAAATTGCACTCTGCTCAAACAACTCGAGATCAGCACCACCACTCACATCTTAGATCTCATTCACAAGACTTCATCCAAACATCATCTATCTGACTTATAGACTCAACAGATCTCACAGTATTACAAACAACCACCTTCCATAAACTCATTTCTAGAATTGTATTCCCTCAGCATGTTGCGTTGTGATTGTGTCAAATACCAACAAATCGTGGATGAAATCAATGATCAGATTCATGCCTTCTTCCAGACTCAGACCCCTTTAATCCAAAAGATAATGGCCTAAGAAAGGAAGTCCTAGCCAGAGCCAGAACCAATGCAGATTGAGGACGATGAAGATCAAAATAATATGAACAATCCAGATGATCCCATCTAGCAATAGCAATTACAATAAGAGGATCCACAACAACAACAACCATCCCAACAAACCAATGTCCCTTGTTCCCAACAACAACAGCCAGCCAACACCTAATAGACAACTCAACCATCCCAAAGTATAGAAGATGAAATTTGCATTCCCAATTCTGTTAAATTAAAGTACAGAAGAATAAATAACGGACCCTCTGAAAAAGAAGCCAAATGCGACAACTGTGTATGTCAAGGCAAACCACCATCAGAATCAGATAATTTAATACAATGCCTTTTATGCCTAAATTACTTGCATTTCAACTGTATTGCCAAATCCAAAGAATCCTTTGACAAGTGTTACAAAGATTTAGAATTTGTGTGTCCTCCATGTGTGCTCAAATACATGGATCATTTCAACAAAATATAGAGTGCCTTGGTTCCACCCTCTCCCTTCCAACAAATGGGCCAAATCAATCACAAGGCCTTCAATTTCGCCTGCGATAAAAGCATCATCAATATCAGATGTGTGAGACAAGAGAATAAGACCAATTGTGAAAAACCATATAGTCTGCTCTAATGTTAGA